TTGAGGGTATGATATGCACAAAAATTATGGGATTTGTGACGAATTATTTCTTTATGGTCTCCTTAAAAATTCAAACCATATGCCTGAAGATAGATAACAATTAAAAAAAAACTATAGTTCCAAATCCACCCTCAAACCCCTCGGGTAGAATTAATGTAGTAGTGATTCGTTTTTCTCCTCGTATTGATGTTAAGGTAGGGATCATTTGAAGTTTGAAGTTTGAACCTATTTCTAAAAATGCACCTTACCCACCAGTAGGAGTTAATTTTAGGTAGAATTAATGTAGTAGTGGTTTATTTTTCCCCTCGTATTGATGTAAAGGTAGGGATCATTTGAAGTTTGAACCCATTTCTAAAAATGCACCTTACTGACCAGTAGGTGTTAATATTAGCCCCTGTCGTAATTAATTCCTTTTGGGTTTTTTTTAATCTATACTTAAAGTAGATAGTTATTGTAGTTTTTTTAATATTAATTGATATTAAAAAATAAAAATTGATATTTATTTAATAAAAAATTATTACAATCATTTTTCACATAGTATCGTTATCTCAATTAATGCCTTTATTTAATCAACTATTTGATTAAAATAATCCACATGATATTAATTAATAGTGAAATTAATATAAATTTTTGTATTTTCAATAACACATAATATAAAATATATAATAATTACATTCTTAATTTATATTTTTAAAACACATATATTTTTAAAAAAACTCATTCTTTTTTACTTAGGCGTTTACTATATATAATTAAGCTGATCAGTTTATATATTTACAACACTAATTTCATGCAAGTCATTCGTACACCAAAAAGAACATGTAAAACATTATCTTTTCATGCACCTGGATAAGGTGCAGTCCTGAAGGCAGAGTCCTTGGTTCAATCCTTTATAATCAATTCCCTCTCCCCTACTTTCCCATTAAAAAAAAAAAAAAAATTTATCTCTTCACAGCCACCTCAAAAAATCACCTTGGCAATTAATCGGACTGCTGTCCCTTTTGAAAATTTGTTTCAATTTATTGATTAGTACTCTCCTTCATGTTTAAAAAAAAATTTTTTTCCTTGTTTCTGTATGTCAATTAATTAGCAAGTAAATGCTTGCTTCTTTTTTGGCAGCTTTTTTAGTTTGCTTTTCTGATTCTCCTCTAATCTTAATTATCCTATCCAACAGGGTTTGTCTGCAGCTGGAATGAAATCAATTATCCATTTATTATTACATAATGTCCTTGAACTCATAAATAGCCGGTACTATAAACCCAAAACCCAAACTTGCTATAACACTATATATCACCCACTTCATCAACCACGCCCATAGAGAAAATCTTTGTATACTGTAAAGGATATTTGATGATGATGATGTCTAGACATGAAGGAATGTTCGGAGGAGCAGTAAGATGTCAAGACTGTGGAAATCAAGCCAAAAGGGATTGTGCATACATGAGGTGCCGGACTTGTTGCAGAAGCAAAGGGTTTCAGTGCCAAACTCATGTTAGAAGCACTTGGGTCCCTGCCTACAGAAGGCGCCAGAGAATCATCCAAGAAGACACGCAAACTAACCCTAAGAGACTTCGAGACCATTCTTCCACCTCAGGTATAGTATTTGCACCCATCTATCATATCTACACAAAACCACACACATGTATATACTTTTGTGGTGAAAATGTGATATGTAACAGCAGCGAATAAGTTGGTGCTTAGCTATTACAGATATTTGAATCCGCTCTTAATCCCTGAATTGAGTTTCTTTTTCTTTTTTTCTTTTTGTGCTTTTGGTGTTTGTTTTTAGGGTTAGAAGTGGGGAATTTTCCCGCTGAGGTGAGTTCTCTGGCGACATTTCGATGTGTTCGTGTGAGTTCCATTGATGATGAAGATGATCAATATGCATATCAGACGGCTGTGGCCATAGGAGGGCATGTTTTCAAAGGTATACTTCATGATCAAGGCGTGGAGAGTCATTATACCACCGGAGAGTGCTCCTCCAGGGAGACACAGCAGCCAAATGTTCATCAAATCAATGCTCCCGCTCCTGCCCTAGCCAGGGCCGCTGCACCCTCCAGTTCATCACTTGCTGCGGATCTTCCTTCTCCTTCGTATGCTCCTCTCTTCAACGCTTTCATGTCCGGCACACAGTTTTATCCTCATCACCCAAAATCTTGATTTGGGAAAGAGAGAAAATTTTGAAGGTAAATTGTTTAGAGAATTTCTTCCTTTCGTGGGTGTATTTCAATTTCAATACTTTTGAATATATATTTTTAATAATAGAAAAAAAAAACTTTACTAAATTTTTTTTTTAAAGCACCTTTATTCACATATTGAGTTGCCCTAACAGGCATATATGTCCATACTCCATACATACAAGTATAATTCCAAAAAATAATAAATTAAAAAGGGAAAAATAGAGCTTAATTTTGTATAGTTTGTTTTCAAACTCCAAGGCCTGAATTATATGATCATGTCTCTAATATTTAAATGTGGCATGCTAGATGGTCTTGAGCAGTTGTTTTCTTGTTTTATAATGTATCAGTTAACTAAACCACAATATTTACTAGATTGTTTATGTACTCCGAAGCCACTTTTTTCCTTTCCATCGGTATAGAACCAGCCGCCGATGACGATTTCTTACATTCTACAAAAACATAGATTTTTATTTTTGAGACGTTTTATATGATTAATTTAGTATTCATGATCTTCTTTCCCTAATGCACTATCACTTTCAAACCCTAAAGGAATTCGACATACATAATCTAGACGATCAGAATGTGAATACTTATCTGCTTTCTGCTGCTTTTGATCAATTGCTAGTTTAAAAAACTTCAGAAAGATGGAGTAGTTGCACCTCATTTGCAAGCTTTTCTAAACTTTGTTTAACTTCTGTTATACTTTTTGATGCGTATAGGAAGACTTAAAGTTATACATTGTGGCATGCATATATATCTTCTTGTTTCTTGATTCAGAGATATATTAAGGTTTTCTGTTCTTGTCCATGATTGGCTCCATGCACAAGCACAACATATATAACTTTACAAGATCATCATCATCGTTGTCATCATCATATTTTCTTTATGTTTTACAGATTAATGAAGCTAAGAGAAATTATAATCGCTTACCCAAAAAAAAAAAAAAAAGAAATTATAATCACGGGGAATCACCCTAGCTATGGCTAAAAAGCAAAAAAAAAAAAAAAAAAAGAGAAATTATAATCACGGGGAATCACCCTAGCTATGGCTAAAAAGCATAAGCTAAAGCTTTGAAAATAAATAATATTAGCTTAGATTAGAAAATTCTAGGTGGAGCATCTTGTTTATTTTTGGTGATTAAGACTTTAAGTAGAAAGGGTTTACATATAGAACCCCTGCTTATACTTTTTAATGTCAATAACACTAACTAGACATTTAGGAAATTAAAAGATTGATACCCTCTTAACGATACAACCACTAGAATATGTCTTGTACTCGAAAAAAAGATGACAGTACAAATGGATGTTCATTAATCAGTGGAATTTCTATATATTCTACATATACAATGCATGTATATGTAGAATCAAACTTCTCTCACACATTATTCATGTAGGATTCCATACTGGTGATGATTTTCCTGTTCGAGTTGCAAAACTAATAGTAGTAAAGGAGTATAGGGTAATTAAATATGTATACGGATGGAAACAGGATCAAATTTTCGCTTTTATGTAATTAAATCTTTTATAGTTTGTTTGTTTTGAGGGGAGGGGAGGAGGAAATATTTCTCAATTTGGGTAATAAAAAATTGAATGGATGAGTTTTTTCCTATTTTTCTTTTAATTTTTTTTTATATTTTAGTCGTCTAACCAAATAAGGAAAGGGGAAGAGAGAGAAATAGAAGAAATATGATATCCTTTTATTTGCCTCTTATCTTGTCCGTTTAATTTCCTAAAATCAAAAAGTGGCTAGAAGCAAGTTTTAAAAATGATTAATAAGGTTGACACAAGTGTATTTGTAGTTATAACCTAGGATTAAATTAATTAAAATTAAGCCTTTCGTGCAAAATGTAGTTTGGGGGAAAAGATTATTGTAGTGTTGGTAATTGGTAATGTACAATTAACTACGTTTAACTTTAGTTATTTTAATTTGATTTTTTGAAAATAAATTTTACAAGAAAATTTAACATAATATATAAAGAACAATTATTATTATTTTTTTGATTAAACGAAACTACTCAATAAAGGCTACATATATCAAGGCTACATATATCAAAAAGAGTAATTTTCAATTGTTTTTCATATAAGTGTTTAAATTTTCATATAAAATTTATAAATGAAAAATTAATTAAAAAGTCAAACTAGAATAATTAAAGTTAAGTAGAAGGAGTAATTAATAATATTTTTTTACAATATCAAATGATATGTTATACAATAAAAAATAATTCTCTCATTTTCTTAAACTTCTCTCATCCAACTCAAAATTTAAATCTAAAATTTCAAATTTTTAATCAGTTGATCTATTTCTTAAGTGCATTAACAATATTTGACAATATTCTTGTGTGTTAAGTTCCAGTCTTGAAAGTGAAGTATGAAAGGAAGAATGTTTCAATTTCATAATGATTTCATGGAGGATGGTAGTGTGTGTGATTGGAATCCGGGCATTTTGCAAAGGTATATATATTACGCATTTTGTTGCATTTATCTATCTTTGAATAAGTGCTACTTTTCAAAAGAGTAGCATGCCCATCTTTTTCTTTCTTTAGGTTTTCTTTAACAAATTAAAGAGAGGAGCATATGACGGCTAGTATAGCATCTTTACCTAAAAGACGAAAAACTTAATTCGTCTCCAATCTCCTCTCAAAGCTTAATTAAGTAAGAAGGAGAAGCTGACTCCACTTGTCGCTATTGGAGCTTACGGCAGAACTTATCACCATAGGGGAATATATAAAAGAAAAAAATGTTCTCTTTCACTAATTAATGGTAGCTTTGGTAGGAGTTTTTATTTGATTAAAATATTTATAGAAGTGTTAAATCATGAATGCATGCAAAATAATTATATTAAAAAAATAAAACTATTTAGTTTTGAAGCTTAATAAAAATTCACTTACATACAAATTTTACACATTATATTTATATAAAATTTTTCAACATTTTATCTTTTTATTTTTAATAATTGAGATTTGTCATAATTTTTTAAATAAAAAAGTAAATATTTTTAATAAATATGAGTACATTTCAATTATTAAAAATATAAAAATAAATAGTTGAGATTTTATATAAATATAATGTATAAAATTTTTATGCAAATAAATCCCTATTCAATAACAAAAGATTTAATTATTCCCAAAGCAAAAACTTTGGAGCTTCTTAGAAGCTGTATTCAACATTCTTTAGAAAAATAAAAAAATTATATTTCCCTCGTTTTAATTTTTGCAGTAAAGAAAATCGCTTTCAAAAATTGACCAAACTGACTCTATAATTTTATGAGATGGTGAAGCTAGAAGGATTTTGGTTAAATCAAACTACAAAGAAAGTAAGTTTTGGCTCCGGGAATTAGTAGGAAAATTACACCTAGGGTTTTTGCGAATTAATTCATGATTATCTACTTTTCCATACTGAAACCGGCATCCTAAATAAATTATTATTTACGGTACAATTTACAAATTAAGAAGAATAATACTGGCCGGATAATAGGGAAAACCATATGTTAAGCCTCTAAACTAACTCCAAATTCACTATTGAGTCTCCAAAATTTAATTAATGCATACAAGCCCCTAAACTCCATGATCTGAGTAATTTAACTCTTATTCTTAAAGCAATTTAGTTTTTATTTTTACATTAGTTAAAGAATTAAGGGCTAAATTACTCAAATCATGGAGTCTATGGGCTTATAAGTATCAAATAAGTTTGAGAGCTCAATAACAAATTTGGGGTTAGTTCAAGGGTTTAAGATATGGTTTTGTCCAGAGAATATTCCAGGCACATTTCAGATCAGAAGTCTTCTCTTGTCGGAATACTGGCCGGAGAATATACCATTTGTTCCGTGATAAAAATTTCACTAATAATAATAGTATATTTAGTTTGAAAGGAATAAAGAAAAGGAAAAAAGAAAATATTTTGTAATAAATTAGATTACAATCATTAGAAACGTTATAATTTAATTAGTAAAAAAATTCTTATTTCTCGGACATCCCTCAAACCAAACATCTTATAAGACTTGAGAAATTGGGCTTTTAAGAATAAACTTAGTATTCTAGGCCAAGTCCAAAATACAAAATGGGGCCTCGTATATCCATCTTTCAGGCCATGAGGCCCACAATTGGTCCACCTCATTGGTGGCTACTGGCTTCAGAGATCTGAGCTATCCATCAGGCCCATATATAAATTAATGTGTCCAGCTTTCCCGAATAAAAGCCCTAAATTAATAAACCCATCTGGCCCACACCAATTCTGGCGGGAAACTTGTCCGCCATTTCCCGCCAAGTTAATTAATTCCTCACGGTTCATTTTCTCTGTCTCCCCCCTTCCCTGTGTCGCCGCCTTCAATCCCTTATTCTCTAGCCATGGCTTCCGACTCCTCTCCCGGCAACTTCTTCACCGGTGACTTTTCCATCCATATATTTCTCATCATTGTATTTCTAGTTCGGATTTGATTTTCTGTTTTTGTTTGTTTTTTCTGAACTTTTTTAAAAGAATTTTTTTAATCTAAATCTTTCAGATCCTTCGTCTCCCGATGGTTTTTCCAGTCCGATTGGCAACACTTTCTCTTCCCCAGCACACCAACGCGGCCGCCGCCGCCGTCGATCGTCGCCTCCCTCCGACGCTACCCCTCCGCCCAACGGATCCCGATTTGCCTCGTCAGCTGCTAGTCCAACCCCATCACCCGCAGTTCGGGGTGGGAGCCGAGGCAGAGGCAGGGGTAGGGGCGTCCGACGTCCCCCAACTTCACCGCCGGATTCTGCAAACACTGACGACTTGCCACTTCCGTCCTCTGACTTCGGCGATGACATGGACGAGGCTACGCCGACGTATGTTTGGGGGACGAATGTCAGTGTACAAGAAGTGAAAAGTGCAATATATACGTTTATCAAGAATTTTAGGGAGAGTCAAGAATCGAGCGACGACGTTTACGCGGAAGCGAAGTATATGATGTTGATACACAGGGTGCTTGAAATGGAGGGGGAGTGGATTGATGTTGATGCTCATGATGTATTTGCTTACGACCAGGATTTGTACAACAAGATGGTGAGGTACCCACTTGAGGTTTTGGCTATCTTCGATATTGTTCTGATGGATATTGTGAGTTCCATTAACGAGATGTTTGACAAACATGTGCAAGTTCGGATTCATAATCTTAAGAGCTCTACTTCCATGAGAAATCTCAACCCATCTGGTAAGCATTCATTTTCCTGCACTCTTCCTTTGAAAATTTGAATAATTCTCAGCTCTCATGGTTTTTTGCTTTGTGATCTTTCCTATTCATTTGGATATGCTTTTTGTTTAGATATTGAGAAGATGGTCTCGTTGAAGGGGATGATAATTCGATGCAGTTCTATAATACCTGAGATAAGGGAAGCAGTATTTAAGTGCCTTTTGTGTGAGTACCACTCGGATCCAGTTGTTGTGGATAGAGGTATTTACTTTGATTGTTCTTTTGAATTTGGATTCAGTGTGTAGCAAATATTGTTTTTCTGATTGTTTGTTAGTTGTTGGGTGATATCAGGACGAATAACTGAACCTACTATGTGCTCAAATGAAAATTGCCTCGCTAAGAACTCAATGACACTGATTCATAATAGATGCAGGTATTTCCCAGCTACTGTTTACTTATTTATATAGCTTATCTACCTCCAAGTGACGTTGTTTGTGTGCATTTTCATATAAATTCTTTTCTATTACTTCTATGTAGTCCCATTTAATTGCTTCCTGATTTTTGTTGCCTAGTTTTCTGGTTAGCATTTCTGAATACATTTGGTTGGCTAAGATCCTGGGAAACTAAGTGTTCAATTGTTCTTCCCTTCTTGTTGTAGGGCACACCCAAAGCCAAAATCATATTCTTTGATGAACAATTCTCTGTAGATTGTTTTTGCAAATGCCAATTTTTTAATATTATGACGTTTTGTTTCCTGAATTGTGATTTTCAATAACCTCTTGATTATGTTGGTTCTAATACCAATTCTGAATCGTTGAAAATTAGTTTAAATTAATAGCGTTAGTGGCAGCTCTCAACTCAACTTTAAGACATTTTGTAATTTGCTGTGGTGGCTGAATTCGTCCATATTTAGACAAATCCTTTTAAAAATTCCAGAGCTGCTATAGGGTACAATTATAAGTAAGCTGTGCAGCCACTTGAAGAATTAGGATTACCTAAACTCTCAAAACAAATAGACTCAGCTATGAGTCCAGCCTAGGAATAGGCATAGATAAAGTATGTAGTTTTTCTATAAGTAATTTCAAAAGTCAACTAACTGATCATACCCTCAAAATTCAGGTTTGCTGATAAGCAGATTGTGAGGCTCCAGGAGACACCTGATGAGATCCCTGAAGGAGGGACACCACACACAGTGAGCTTGTTGATGCATGACAAACTAGTAGATGCTGGAAAACCTGGTGATAGGGTTCAGGTTAGACCAAAATGAACAAATGTTTTGTCATCATGAGAAGGATCCTAGTCCTAGCTATTCTTTTGCTTGATTATTGTTTTTCCTTTGGTTTAGATCACTGGGATTTACAGGGCTATGAGTGTCAGAGTTGGGCCAACACAAAGATCTGTCAAATCCTTGTTCAAGGTATGTGTTTTACTTTTCTTCTGTTAGGTTTGTTTGCTCGTAAACCATTTCAATAGTTTGGTCTGACCATAATGGTGTCACATTAATTGCAGACATACATTGATTGTCTTCATATAAAGAAAACCGACAAGTCCAGAATGGTTGCTGATGATCCTATGGAAGTAGATGGTAGCTCACAAAGAATAGAGGAAGATGTCCGGTTTGATGAAGACAAAGTATATTATACTATGTGTATTTGTAACATTGTTTCAAATTATAGGATGTGTTATCTTCTTTGATTGCAAACTTGAAACTTGTTTCATACTGCAGGTAAAAGAGTTAAAAGAGTTGTCAAAACAACCAGATATATACGACAGACTAACAAGGTCATTGGCACCAAATATTTGGGAGCTGGAGGATGTGAAGAAAGGTCTTCTTTGCCAGGTACTATAATGTTGCGACTGGCTGATCAACCATTTTCTTTCTAATTGTTATAAGTTAATTGTCCCTCCCTTGCTAGTAATTGTTAGTTGTTGTCCATAAATGTAGCTCTTTGGTGGGAATTCTTTGAAGTTACAATCTGGTGCTAGCTGTCGTGGTGACATCAATATTCTTCTTGTTGGTGATCCTGGAACAAGCAAGTCCCAGTTGCTCCAATACATTCACAAGCTTTCTCCTCGAGGCATTTACACCAGTGGAAGGGGAAGCTCTGCTGTTGGTTTAACTGCTTACGTTACCAAAGATCCTGAAACAGGAGAAACTGTAAGTTACTTTTTTGTGTGGTCCTATCTTCTAAATATTTCAGCTGCCAGCATGAACTTTTATATATAATCTTTGCTTCAGGTTCTGGAAAGTGGAGCTCTTGTTCTTAGTGACAGAGGTATCTGCTGTATTGATGAATTTGACAAAATGTCTGACAATGCAAGGAGCATGTTGCATGAGGTCAGTTTGCATTCCATTTTATTAATGGAATATCTTTTTTTGCCCTTTTCTCTAAGGCATAATATCATCCTCTGCCTGGATATTGAAATTGAGAATTTAAGAAACAAACATTTGTTGCTGGTAAATAGGTTGAGTTCAATCAAACTAAGTTTTGGTGCAGCAAGAATTACCTTCTCTTAGGGTTCAAAATGGTTTAACACTAATTTCTGTATGCCTATTCACAACTGTGCTTTGTTACTTCCACAATACCAGGTGATGGAACAACAAACTGTTTCGATAGCGAAGGCTGGAATTATTGCTTCACTTAATGCTAGGACTTCGGTATTGGCTTGTGCTAATCCTAGTGGCTCACGCTATAATCCTCGCTTGTCAGTGATTGATAACATACACCTGCCTCCTACCTTGTTGTCCAGGTAAGAATATTCCAGTCAAATGCTATGGAACTACACTTTGATGTGATATGAGGTTTTTGATACTTTAAAGAGATGCTAAACTAAAATATAAATTGCTTACAAAAAAAATTCCTTATTTGAATTTGATTACTTGTACTTGATGGGTGGCCGAAGTTAGAAATTCTGAAAAGATGTTTTTTTAATGATTCTTCTCTGTCTATGTTGGTTGTATTGTCTTAAATTTACTGTTTCTAGGATTTGGTATAATATTGGCAAAATATAGTTTATCCTTGTCATGCATTCATTTTTTATACAACTCCACTCGTTGTTATTGCTTTCTCAGGTTTGATTTAATCTACCTGATTCTTGACAAGGCTGATGAACAGACAGACAGACGACTAGCTAAGCATATTGTTTCTCTGCATTTTGAGGATCCCAAGGTTTGGTCAACTCTTTTGATCAGAATTCATGGATATTATTTCTTTGCTTACAAGTAAAACTCCATGTCTTTGCTTGCAGAGTGCAGAGCTGGATTTCATAGACCTTGGTACTCTAACGGCATACGTGAGCTATGCCCGCAAGCATATTCATCCACAATTGTCTGATGAAGCTGCTGAAGAATTAACTCAAGGATATGTTCAGATGCGGAGGAGAGGAAATTTTCCTGGAAGTAGTAAAAAAGTAACAATTTTATTCATTTCCTAGTCTAGTCTTCATTATTGATTTATTCCCCATAGTCACTTAAAGAATATAATTTTATAACTTGGTGAAGAGTATTGCGTGCACTCGGTTACCTAACTATTTTAGTTTACGTTAACTCAAGCATCAGCCTTTTGGTGGCTCCGTTGTATTCCACTGAACAAACTTGTGTCTTTCTCCCGATGCTTTTCACTGGCAAAATTGTTTTGATTATATTACTGTCTGACTGATATATACATATATGTGATCTATGCTTGACTACTTCCCAGATTATTGTTCTGAACAATATTTTGAATTATTTATGAATAAGACTCTGTTAACCATTTCCAAAATATCTTAAAACTTAAATTTCTTTTCCTGCATTTTATTATATAAACAGGTGATAACAGCAACCCCAAGGCAGATTGAGAGTCTAATACGCCTTAGTGAAGCCCTTGCCCGAATACGTTTCTCAGAATGGGTTAGTTAAGCTAATCTTTATTAGCAACTTGCAATGGTTTCTCCATGGAATCAATTAAATTAGATTATGCCCCGATGCATGCAGGTTGAGAAACATGATGTAGTGGAGGCATTTAGGCTTCTCGAAGTTGCAATGCAACAGTCAGCAACTGATCACACCACTGGTAATTTTCTGAATTCTCTAGTCTTCATTTTCTGCTCAGCCAAGCTATATCTAGTGCATGCTTCAAACTCTCCATTTCCATTTCTCTTTTGTAGGAACAATTGACATGGATCTCATTACCACTGGAGTTTCGGCAAGTGAGAGAATGAGAAGGGAGAATGTGCTAACAGCAACTCGCAACATAATTCTGGAGAAGGTGCAACTGGGTGGACCCTCAGTGCGCTTGTTAGAGGTAAGTGGTTCAAGTGGGATTTAAATCCAAACCTTTGTTTTCTCTAAAGCATTGGCTAACTCATGTGTTGCCTTGATCCATCCTCTAGTTATTGGATGAACTGAAGAAGCAAAGCTCTGGCCCCGAGCTTCAACTTCATGATGTGAGTAGATATACCTTCTTTCTCTACATCTCCTGGTTAAAGAAAATGATATCACTGATGGGTAAATCCTCTTCTTTTTGGTTAATTCAGCTACGAAATGCGGTCGCAACCCTTGCTAGTGAGGGACTCGTTGTTCTCCATGGTGACAGTGTAAAGAGAGTTTGATGCTCAGATGGGATCCATGAGAAGTAACTGAGTAGAAAATGTTGAGTTTGTTTATTCCTTAGCTTGCTGAACTGCAACCTGGTAAAGAGTTCCACCCTACTAATTCAGCTTCGGAGAGAGACGTATGATTTTTAGGTCCCTTGTGATTTAGTGGATTGTGGCATATAATTTTATATACTTAGTAGATTTAGGAACAACTCTCCAACATGAAATCATGATTACATTGAGTAAGAACCATGTGAAAACATTTATCCAAATTGAAATGGATTTCAGCCACAGCTACAAGCCACTGTCATCTTACAAAAAATATAAACTGGTTGTTACTAATTACTGGTGAGATGGTGACCAATTTTCACGGGCAGCTTGCGTTTCCACTTTGCATGTATTGGGGTTGGGCACCAAACTGTCCAAACTACAAAACGAAATAACTTAAGAATTTTTTGAAGAAGGCAGTGTTATAGATTTAATATTACCTTAGATTGTAGAAATTTTTTCTCCTCCCTTCTTGTCCATTCTTTTTAACTTAAATATACTATGCGAATTTTAAGAGTTTTTCTAATATAT